TTCTACAATTTTTCTGTTATCACAGTGTAGAATTCTGTGGTTTAGGGTGAACGCAAAATTTGTTGGCCTAGATCTAGGCTATAACGGTGAACGCGCACCGGGTGAGAATAGCCAAAAGACTAGCCTGCACTATTCTCATCCCGGGTGAGAATAGAGGTGGCCGTTTGGAATAGAGGTTTGTATGGAGTTTTTGTTTTTTTAAATGGCCAGTTGTCTGGTGGTGGGTGGGTTTTTTTTAGGGGGTGGGGAGAGTAGCGGTGTCAGGTAGGGGCAGGGGTTTGGTATTTTTATAGAATCACGCCCGTCTTGCGGTTGCTATCCATCGGGGTAAAGTCTTGCTGCTTCTTTTGTACATGCCGGGGGTGGAAATGAGATGTGGTTTGGCTTTTTGTTTTGATTATATAATATGCATGCTTTTATACTTTAATCATTTTTAGATCCAGTCTTTGTACGTGTGGTGGGGGGGAGGGGGGGCCGTGGAGGAGGAGGGGTCTCTTTTTTTCCCATTGATGTTTTGCAATTGGGTTTGAGATTTTCTTGAAAATAATTGATTTGTGACAGTTCAAGTAAGTGGGTAAGTATTGTGATCTGCAGCAAAAATTATGGCCATTAGACTTCCAAAAGCAGTGAATCTGTGTGCACGAGGGAAAGTAAAAATTTACCAAGTTTTCATCATGATAAAGTATTTGATCTCAAAGAAGACAAACAATTGTCAGTTAGATCTACTGGGGCCTACTGACTTAAATACATAAATAGATCTAGATCTAGACCCTCAAAAAATTATAAAGCATCCCCAAAGAAGGTCATTTCTAAATGTTCAAAAAATGAAAAGGCTGATGTAGCTTATTATGTTCAACATGCTTTCAGAAAATGCATGGACATGATTAAACGATATTGAACCATAATTAAAATGGGTTTTCATGTTCTCCCAAAGACTCTTTGAAGTCTTTTTGTGTCAATATGAAAATACAACCATAGAACCCTTGAAATCCACTGATAGTTATCTGTCCCCATCCTTTTATTTATGCAAGAAAAACTAGGAAATTATGCATACTGAGCCCAAAAATGTGAAATTATGCAATTCTGTTAATTTAACAATACAGTATAAAGGAAAATAATCAGAAATTATGCAAAAAAATGATCAAATGTTGCTAAATTATGTGGGCCCCAGGGTGCATAAAACCACGGGGACATAGTTATAAATAGAGTTGGCAATGCTCTTTTTTTTCTTTTTTTAAACTTAAACATTTTTTAAATTGTTGTTCTTTTCAGGAAACTAAAAAACCGTGTGGCAGCACAAACCGCCAGAGACAGAAAGAAAGCTCTCATGCAAGAGCTGGAAGAAAAAGTGGCACAGCTCGAAGAAGAGAACAAACTGCTGAGAAGGCAGAATGTTTCCTTGAAAGAAACCTCGTCGTCCCTCGCAAAAGAAAATGCATCACTCAAGTCTCGCCTGACAGACCCAGTACCGACGTCCATCAAGACAGAATCTGAACCGCCTAGGTACGGGGGTTTGATTTTTTTATTAACAGGATACGAATTCACCTGTCTGTCTGTAACTTGTTCTTTAAGTTTAAAAACATGGACCAAGATGGAGAAATGAGATAAAATTATTATTATATATATGGCGTATTGCAAAGTTTAGTTCATTAGTTCTCCACCAACATTATTCTGAAAAGTGAAACTTTAAAAACATGATCACCCTTTTGATGAAAAACATGCATCATATCTTACTCATATCAAAAACTTTTGAAACAAAATTGATAAATGAAACAATTATCTTGTTGTTTCTGTTTGTTTTAGCCATCCTAATATTTTTAACCATGTGGAATGTATTTGGATCAAGATCGAGTGATGACCAGTTATGATAAAAGCATATATTTTTTTTCGTATTGTTATATATAAATCTTGTATGTGTATTGTTGTATAATATTCTTAGAAATTGTGTTGATGTCGTGTGTTTGTTTGTGTGTTTGTTCCAGGTCCGCAGCACCTGCTGTTCCTCTGCAGAAGGAGCAGGTTCAGAATCTGTCTCGATGGCTGGCCCAGTACTGCGCGTTTGTCATGATGCTGAGGTGAGTGTCTTCTCTTTTATGCCGATTCCCCATATATATATATATTGTCCAGATTTTGGCAACTTTTTTTGGTGGGGTTGCTACAAGTGAAGATTTTTTTACAAGTCATGGTTTTTCAGATTGCTTTTTTATTTTTATTGTTCAGCTAAAGGGTCTCGGTTTAATTTATAGTGTTTAAGAGAATCTGTATTTTACAACAAAAAAAGGGGGCCTAGGCTGTAAATGACACTGTGTCTGTCTCTCCCCCATCCGGGAATTGGAGTACTGTGGCTTCACTTTAACTTTGGCGTAATATAATTAACGCATTTCCCACTTTTCTATGAAGAGTACTTTAGTGTGGCCTTCCATTTAATTTCTACTTACTTGTTGGGTGAATATTTTCTTCGTGCGAATTTTATCTGGCCCTAAGAATTACTGTTCAAGGTGTTCCGCTCCGTATGTTTGTGGCTGAACTGGTTTTAGGACCACAGAGAGGTCACTTTCTACTGGGTTTTTTTGTTGGTGTAGTTATGTTGACTTTTGATAGAAAATGTTTTGATAGATTTTCTCAATCAACAGTGTGCGTATTGTAGCGTGGGATGTTGACAGAGTTGTTTGGTTACGGGATTGACCTGTGTAGGTTGAAATGAAAGATGGAGGCAAATTGTTGCCCTGTTTAGTTAATATAATTCCTCTCTGGAGATAACTTTGATTCTATTTTTGCAAGCCATTCCATAGAAATGGTATTGTGCTGACAATATAAAACGTTTTAGAGAAATGTGTTGTATCTGTTCCATTCTTTCTCCGTTTGGAGATGCATGTTGTTGTTCTGGACGTTTGATTGAGTTGCTTCCTTGTTTGGTTTTGTTTTAGTCTGATGATCTCTTCGGGTTGCTACAAGAGCTTACAGACCTCGGAGAGTGCGAGCAACCGCAAAAGGAAGCAGTTGCGGCCCTCGCGTCGAGTGTCCGTAGAGGAGGAGCTGGTGGTAAAACAGGAAGTGGAGGTGAAGGAGGAGCCGACAGAGCCGCCCCACGTGGCGTGGTGGGGCTCTCACCAGCAGAGCTGGAATCCCTCAATGAACTGATCCACATCGACCACTACTACGTGAAGCCTCAGCCCTTGGACCTTGCCGAGGAGGTCGACGGATCTATGTCGTCTTCGTCGGAGGATGAGGAAGAAGTCACAACGTCTCCCGAGTACGCTCACGAACTCGAAAGCAGCATCGCACTCTCTACGGATGAGGTTCCTCGTCGCACGTCGCAGGCAGCAGCAACAGTGGTGTCGTCGTCTTCAGCCGGAGTCAAACGGACTCACGCCGGGGTGCCGGTCAGAACGACCCCCTCCCCTCCCACGATCGACGCGTCGCTGTTGTCCCAGACGTGCACCGTTGGCGTCGGGGAATCATCAGACTCTGCACTGAAGAGTGCCGCTGTTCCCCCCTCCCCAACCTTTTTCACAGACACCGATGACATCATGGGTGGCCTGTCTGAGACGGAAATGGAAGCGCCGTTGTCTCTGAACTTTTTAGACGATTTAGTCCTCGACGGCCCCGAAGCTCCCGTCTCCAAACTTTTCACCACGCCGGAAAAATCTGTGGCCGTCTCTCCACTGCAGCCCATCGCAAAGTCTCTGGAGCTGGTCTCCCCAGAGCTGAACAGCGCCAAACTTTTGGACGAAATTTACGAGCACTATTTGAACTTTAAGGATTCCTCGTCAGATGCATCTTCCCCTCTTTCCACGTCCATCAGTGACCCTGACCTCCACGGTGAAACAGTGGAAGCTCTCTCCCCCCAGAGCAGCGAGGGTTCCCTCCTAGACGATCTGTCCTGGCATGACTCTTTTACTGAATTATTTCCTGATCTTCAGTAAAAAAAAAATACTCTGTAAAAATGTTATTTGATGATATAGATCTTTGCTTTATATTCTGAAATAGGTTGTTTTTTTTTCCCCGTGAAAAATTGAAATCCTCTTTCTAAATTGGTGAAATGTTTGGAAATAATTGTTCTTGGGGGGGAAAAAACCCTAGTGTCAGGATAATTCTCGCGGTTCCGCTCAAATGAATCATGTAGGAACGGCGTCTGATTGAAGACTCAAGTTGGTGCTTTGCGTCTCTGAAAATTCCATGTGTGTAAGGGG